ATGTCAAAAATGGGTAGTGTATTCTAATCATCATTAACTATGAATTTCATTAAGGCTAAGGAACTAAATCCCCACCAATTCCAGAAATCCTTAGAAGTGTTTAGTCTGACTATGGTGACATCTTTTACTTTTTAGAAGTGAGATAGATAAGTTGAGCCTAAAAGTTGAAAAGATTTTATTATTTGCTTAATCCTATCAAGTGCTGTATGACACAAAACCCCCTAAATTTGTACATCCTTAGCCATACGGAAAGCTACTATTTTGTAAGCTAATTAAAATATATAATTTAAGCCTGGGCGTGGTGGTGCACACCTTTAATCCTAGCACTTGGGAGGCAGAGGCAGGCATATCTCTATGAGTTCAAGGCCATCCCCTGGTCTACATAGTGAGTTCCAGACCAGCTGGAGCAACAGGGAGACCCTGTCTCAAGACCAAAAAGAAAAACAAAACCATATATATATAATTTAATGCAAAAAGAGAAGTAAGTACCCTGCATGGTTATTGCTCCCAAAGCCATAGGTTATTCAATGAAAACCCCAGCATCAGCTATAGGATACCTCCCTAGGAGTTGTTGGTCAGGAAGACCCCAGAGGCCTCCAAAACAGTGCAGGTCATTTTCACTCCTCTGGGTTGCCCACTAACACCAGGTGATAATATCCTATTGCTGAGGACACCACACACTTTGGTGCAGAACATAGAGAGACCAAGCTTGAACTGAGCTAGAAGCTTCCTGCCTGCTGCTAGCCCTCATAGTGCAAGAAGGTATCATGCAGGCTGCTGCTAGAGAACTGTCATCAAAGGTCTTACAGCTGTGAACCCTGTGTACTAGCTACTCTACCAACTCCCAGCCAAGACATGCCCACTGGTGCAAAAATGATAAGTTCATCATAGGAGTAACTAAACACTTTCTGGTTGGATTTGAGGCCTGTTCCACGGAAGGGAATTCACATCTGGTACTGTAAACCTGGTCAAAGCTCCAGGCTGGGAAGGTCTGATGTGTAACCATTTCCTCAAGCTGAAGGATTCCATCCTGGAGGGAGTTAGAGCTCAGGAAGTTCTAAATTGAAACATTTCCTGCAAGAAGGAAGGAAAAGGTTCATAAGACTCAGGAAGAAAACAGCTCTCAAGTCTCAAAAAGTTCTTGAAACTAACAAGATACACAGAGGGCCCCTCCCCAAAGTTATGGAAGCAGTATTGTACTCTGACCACCAGAGTTGCCTGGAGCATATTCTCTGACCTGTCCAGATGCCTGCAAGTGGTGCAGAGAGTTCCAGGTCTGTAGCTTTTGAGAGTCATCCTGAGTAACTCTGATTAACTCATGGGTTTGTCATATGGGGTTTAGATATATTCATTTTCTTTATTAGTAATCCCAAACTTGGGGCCTGCTTGATGACTTTGAAAGACTCCAAATGAAGTGCCTCATAATTTAAGATTATTATGTGAAGACTTTAACAATCTAGTGTGACATATATCACAAAAATTATACACAAGCCCTTCTTTTCTGATCAGCTTTTGTTAGTGCCTTTGTATTTAATGTGTGGCCAAGAGCAATTCTTTTTCATCCAACATGGACCAGAGAAGCCAAAAGGTTGGACAGCCCTGGTCTAGTGCACGCATCGCGGGATCAACAAGGGACTTAAACTTTGCATGTTGGTTGCCCTGCATGACAACAGCCCATACTGCCATTGACTGGATCCTGTTCTGGGCTCAGGTGCAGAACTGTTCTGACTCAGTCTTGAACTTCCTCTGCAGGCCTCCAACAACTTTGCGACTGGTTTTATTCATATCTTGCCTAATGACCTGCAATGATTCCCATATTTATAAATACTCCGACTCTGTCTTCAGGAAGGCCTCTTGAACTGCAGTCTCTCTCATCTTTTTTTTATTCATTCTCTAACATATACATAACTGCATGAAGTAATGTGAGATCTGAGAAGTTAATATAGTACTTTGGATAGGAATAAAACAACCTGGGATTGCAGATAGACATATTATCAAGCAAAATCAGGAATACTAGGCGAATTACATCCAACAAAACTGATGTTGCTTGTGAATTTATTGATAGTCAATAAATTCTGACATTGGAGAAAGACACAAACATATCTGTATCTGAAATACCACACCCGTGATGACAGCAGTCAACCCCCAGAATCTTGAGACATGACAGTAGTAAGTGATTGTTGTCATTTTATGTCAATAAATTTTAGGGAATGTTAAAAAGAAAAAGATAACCAGAATAACTATATGAAAATTTTAAATATTAGGTCATGGCCTGGTATAAAAGGAGAGTCATTTGTATTGAAATTTCTTTATGTTAATGACTTTAATCACTGATAGATAATAGAATTTAAGACATAAGTTGATATGCAGGATGGAGATTTAATTTACTTTAATTGAGGCATATATATCTTTAACATGGGGAAACAGAAAGACTTTCCCAATCTCTTCTGTGGAGCAATTATTTTAGAATGTGCTTTCTGATGATAGATCTAACATCCAAATGCCCTGAATGTAAGAGTAAGGAGGAAGTGTGCTGTTGACTCCTTCAAGGTGGTCCTGGTGGTTGGACTATGCAGGACACATAGATTGAGCAGATGGCTCCCGATTCCAGTCACTGGCCTGCCCTCAACCCACATAATGAAAAGATGCTTTAAAATGTCAGCCCTAGTTACATTAATTCCAGTTAGGTTCTCTGAGGATCAGACTCTTAACATGAACGCAACATATAGGAAGTTCATCGGAAAGTGGTCTTGAGGTTGATACCCATGAAGAGAGACAGAGAATAGCCTTGGGTAAAGAAATGGGGTTACAATGCCAGCCTGACTGCAGCCTAGCAGATCCTTAGGGAGTTCATAGGCTAAAGTGGCTCATCAGAGCTGTACAGCAAAGACTGACCTTTTTAATTTAATTTTATTTCACCTTTTTTTCTTCTTGTGTCAGGGCCGCACTATGTATAATGCATTGGCCTAATCTACTATATCTAGTGAGGCTGAGCCTCTGTGATCCCACTAAAATCTGTCATTGGATGTGCGCTGCTCCAGGAAAGGTATGACTTTGGGCAAGATTGTTTTGAAGCTATGCAGATGCACTCCAGCTCTTGAGTGAAGGAATCCTTCCATAAAGGGGATAGGGCATCACTGAGTGTGTTATGCATCACTGAGCTAAGTGCTTCAAAAGAGATGAAAACTTGGGCTGAGCGCAGCTCATCCATTTTGTTCCTAAAGAGGACTTTGAGGTACTAGCCTTAGGATGATGATGAGGATGACCAGTTTCAAGAGCTCTGAGCAAAAGGGAGTCAATAAAATGACACAGACTGCCTGGAGTTTTAGGGGCGATTTTATGACCCTGTGAATTATTCTGAAATTTTAGCTACGTGTCTGAAGTTTTCCTTTTTCCCCTTCCTTCCTTCCTTCCTTCCTTCCTTCCTTCCTTCCTTCCTTCCTTCCTTCCTTCCTTTCCTTCTTTCTTCCTTTCTTTCCTTCTATGTTTGTCCTTATTTTACATTTTTATCACTTTCAAAGTAGAAAGTAATGAACAGATTAATGAACGCTTGTCTTGATGACTAGTGATTGAGATGAAGGGCAGAAGTCATTTTCACAATTTATCTGATTAGGAGAATGTTACTATAGTTGTTCAAAGGCATGGGATATACTAATACTGCTTTACCTAATAATACCATTTTAAAATATTTTTTCACTTATTTATAGACTGTGTACATGTGTGCATGCATGTGTGTGTGTGTATGTGTATAGGTCAGAAGACTACTTGACAGAACCAGTTCTCTCCTCCTATGTGGGTCAAGGGATTCAAGTCAGGCCATCAGATTGACAAGTGCTTTCACATGCTGTGCCATCTTGACAGCCCTAATCATATTGTCTTTATTGGGAGAAGACCACAGTTTTTGCTAGAGCTGGTTCATATTAGCTAAACACAGCTGATGGTTAAAAGTTCAGAAATTGTGTGAACCAGTTAATAGCCACTGTTATTCAAGATTACAGTACAAAATCTTACATTTAACTAGATTATATGTTTTAAGACAGTACATGCTAAATACTCATCATTTCTGTAAATTCAAGTTTCATAAAAAAGACACATTAGTGCTGAATTTTCTACAGACCAACTGACTAGAACTTCATGATCATGGAGGTGGAACGGAACACTGCAGATCTGGACCGTTATCTTGGGTCTCTTTACTGCCCTTAGTAGCTATTGATTACCAACCTCTGTATCAGAGCTAACATGGTTTTGGTGATTAGGTAAAACTTTTGAAATGTATTAACTAAGCAGACCACTAGCTTTCACAAATCCCCAAACTAAGAATGTTATCAGGCCACTGATATCAGGTGGTTGTGCACTTTTAGTCTTAGCACTCACTCTTGAGGCAGAGGCAGGCAGATCTCTATGAGTTCAAGGCCAACCTAGTCCACACAGTGAATTTCAGGCCAGCCAGAGTTACACAGTGAGAACCTGTCTCCAGAAAACAGAAAATGGCATCTGAAAACAATAGTAGAGATTTACTAACTTTTTGTACCTACCTACCTCATCAATGAATTTGATTTACTTTCTCTTGCTTGTTCTGTGCGAATAAAAATGTGTTCACTTTCTTCCATAGGGGAACGTGTCACTCAGCAATCTAAATCCATGTTCCTAACCCATGGTCACTTATATTTGGCTCTGAATAAACTCTTATTCCCCTTTGACAAACAGCTATGTTCATGGTGACACTTCCTAGTCATCTGATGACATTTTACTACTATCTATGCTCCTGTGTTGTGTCTACTGATCTGTGTGGTGGAAATATATAATTATATGCTGCTGTTCATCTCTTCCCAGCTATGTTCTGGAATGGCACTGTAAGAACTTAGCCATTGTGGGCATGAATCAGAACTTGATTCATTTTGTTATCTAGAGTTCATAAACTTATGAAGACATATATCATAAGACAGATGATTTAAAACTATGTTAGGTGTGTAGCCATTACCTTGTAAAACACACAAGTGATATTTACCTGGCAGGGGAGATACCATGGTCATAAACGTGGTTTTCCCAGAGTGAGACTTACCTATTGTACTCCGAATTGTGCTGACCCCTGTGATTTTCCAAATGTGCGAAACACAACTACATAATTTGTTATAGTGGAGGACTGTAATTAAAATCTAAGAAAACACACATACACAATAGAGATATTCTCCAATGGAGCTGGAGAGATGCCTCAGCTGTCAAGAGTACTGGCTGCTTTTGCAGAGGACCCAGGTTCAGTTCCCAGCACCTACATGGTGGCTAACAACTGCCCATAGCTCCGGTTCCAGGGGATCCAACACCGTCTTCTGATCTCTGTGGACATTGCACGACATGGGTGCACTTACATACCTGCAGGCAATCTACTCATACACATAAAATAAAGATAATAAATATTTTTTTAAATTAAAAATGTCCCAAATGTCCTTCAAAATGTGGGTCTATCCACTGGGCCCACCAAGAGTCCCATTCCTATCAGACACTGTCTTCCCCTCATCCAGCCACCATCAATTGCCAAATAGTCCTTAGGTTGGGTTGGGATTTCTTACCCACTTCCCCAATGTCTATGCTGAGATTTTGTCTGGTTTGAGCTTGCATAGGATTTGTGCATGCCGCTACCATTGTTGTGAGTTCATATGAGTAAATGACCAGCTGTCTGGAAAACTCTTCCTTGCAGTTATCCACCCTCTCTGGACTTTCTTTTCTAAGGCAGCTTCTCGCATTGCAATTCAGGATGGCTTCAGATTCAGTATGGAACCAAAGTTAGCCATGAACTTGTGCTCCTTCTTCCTCTGTCTATTGAGTGCTGGCATCACAGGTCTTACCAGCTTGCCTAGCTCAGGTTGCCATTTTTCTAAGTGGTCTGGGTCAGTCTCAGTGCTCTGCCCTAGCTCTGTAGCCTGCTCAAATTGCTCTGCTTGTCCACTGGTTTACCTGTTTGGTCCTGCCATCTATCTGTCCACCTATTCATTTATCTGGACCCAACACTGCCCTTTCACCTCTGTAGCTGGACTCAGCTCTATAGCTCTGAAACAAGACTCTACAATGAAGCCTCTCTGGAGACCTTCCAGCTGGTACAGCTCATCCCACTGTCTTTATGAGTTTTTATTGCCAACTTGACACAATGAAGATGGAGCTTCAACTGAGGATTTTCCAAATCAGATTGACTGGTGGTCATGTCTGTGGTGAATTGTCTTTGATTGTTGATTGATATGGGGGGGTCCAGCCTACTGTGGACTATGCTTCCTCTGTGATCCTGGGTTGTATAAGAAAGTTGGGTGAGCCAGTAGATAGCCTTCTTCCATGGTTTCTGTTCCAAGTTTCTGCCTTGAGTTCCTGCCATCACTTCTCTTAAAGATTGACTGTGACCTGTAAGTGTAAGCTAAATAAACCCTTTCACCCTCAAGTTCCATTTGGTCAGTGTTTTTTGTTTTGTTTTGTTTCAAATTATTTAATAACCACATAATTAGTAGAAGTACTTCATTACAACAGCATTGACATAGTCAATAACAGTTTCAGAACAAAGATGCATCTCTTTCAAAATTGGCTGTAATTTTTTAGGTTCACAGTGTTGAATTAATACAGTTATACATTATTGTACCCAGTATAAACTCTGTAAGACATAAAATTGTATGTGGTTTTAACTTAAGATCTCCATTTCATTTTAAAATATACCATTTCATACAGAACTACTCATTTTTAATACAGCTAACACATGTTTGTACGTATATCTCTAATCTCTATATATCTGATTATTACTAGTCATAGTTGGTTACTTTCTGAGATCCTTGGCACCTGAGCATGGATATGAAGTCATCAGGTAAATTTCAATGGTAATGTTTTTATAGCTACTAATTAACATGAAGCAAATTTTTATGCTTCTTCCTCAAATATAACTCATTTTTTATTGATTGATTTTTTTTGTGTGCTTCATACAGAACATCCAAAACAATCTTATTCATCTTTATACCCCCATCCCAAATGGCACCCTCCCACAGCCAACACCCCCCCGGCACTGGGGCCCGTATGCTCTGTCATCCCTGTTACCAGCCACTGTGTTATCAGTGCCCCCAGCCATTCCCTAGTACTAGTCCATCCGCTGAGTCTAGTCAGCCCATCTATAGTTCCTTGTTTTAGGAAGATCAGCTCTTCCTCATCTAGCAGCAATCAGTTGCCAACATTCCTTTAGATAAGATTGGGGTCTGCTGTTCATTTTCCCAGTTCTATG